CTCACGGACCGTGAGATCGTGACCTGAGCTGAAGTCGGACACTCCATGGACTGAGCCACCCAGTCGTCCCAGAACGAAATTATTTTTGAAATCGCAGATAAGCACTTGGCCACTTTAACAGAACCAGCTGAATCCACCAGGGGCTGGGGGAGAAGGGAAGGCAGGCCAGCCACGCAGACAAGCATACAGCTCCCTGGGGGAGCAGCCCTTCCGCCTGACTGCTAGAGGATCACCTGAGGGCCGGGGGGTGGGTTGTTTGAAAAATCTTGGTGCCAGAGCCTTCCCCCGGCCCATTAGGATCTCCCGGAGAGTCTTCCCAGATGTTCCCAATGTGCAAGCTGAGGCCCAGTGTCCCCAAATTCTTATCCTGCTGGCCTCTGGCCTCAACCCCCACTACTAGGGTCTCCTGCGTACCCTGGATCTGATGGCCGGTTTTTCCTCTTTCAGTCCTTGACCCTGTTTTCAGATTCCCTCCACCTGCCTCAGTAGGCTCGTTCCCCACCCAGGCCAGCCCCTGTGTCCTGCAGCCCTGCCCTGGGTTTGTCCCAGCCCTGTTTGTCCCAGCCCACATTAAAAGAAAAACAGAAGGACATAGAAAGTCCATGTAACTGAAAGGGGAAATTTTTAAATACCAGGAATTAAATTAAACCCACACCACTGAGGGTCCCCCACACTAAGGGTCCCCCACACCACTGAGGGTCCCCCACAGTGAGGGTTGAGGGTCACCACACTGAGGGTCACTTGACCAGCATCACTGAGGGTCACCTGTGTTATGGACTGTCCCCCGCAATGTGATATGTCACCAGCAAGTCAGACAAGACAGGACAGGCCCGTTTTGGAACCATCGTTGGTCTTTGAGTGCCAGGCACATGGGCCGAAGGAAGACAGTGAGAAACTACACCCTGGAGATGTTCAGACCAAAAGCAGAATAAAACTAGAAGTCACAGGGCTGGGGTGGCCAGGGGCACATGGGTTTAGGCTGGAGTTTTGTTCCTTTACACAAGAGCTAAGGGGGGTTGCCAGCCGATAGAGGGAGGTCCCTGCTGGGTCTGCGGTGAACCAGCTGGGAGTTTGCCCTGACAGGACAGGAGAGGACAGAGGAGGAGGAGGGCACTGCCCGCAGGGAGCCAGCCTCAGGCTCCATGGTCAGTGGGTCCTGGGGACTGAGGTTGGGAGAATCAGAGTTGAACAACCGGGCGGGTGAGGGCCCAGCAAGGTTAAGGCAACGCCGCGGAGAGCCCTCAGCAGCCCTTCTGTGTCAGTGGGAAGCACAGGGGCCCCAGGGACCGCCCAGGGTGGGAGAGGAGGAGCTCACTCAGGGCCAAGGCTGCCTGCTCCGGAGAACCAAGGCAGTGCCCGTGGCTGCCAAGGGTGGGAAAGGATTACAAAGTCATGGCGGGAAAAGGGCACGGGGGCCCAAACATGGGGTGGTCTGGTTGGTTCTGAGCAGGTGGAGCTAAAGTCACGTTCTCTGAGGATGTTCAGGCCAGTGGCTGGGATCGGCCAGGCAGGACCGAAACCTGCAGGAGCTGAAGGGCCTTGAAAGCCTTGGGCTGCAATATTCCAGGCAACCACAAGATGACGACAGAATGCTGTGTCTGTCTCCATCCTGGAGAACTGAAGTCTGTATCTTTAACATTCATTATAGTCAGTGACAAAGTCCCAGTTCTCATTTTAAAAAGCAGACACGTCTAGGGGTGCCTGGGTGGCTCAGTCCGTTAAGCGTCCGACTTCGGCTGAGGTCATCATCTCACAGTTCATGGGTTCGGGCCCCACCTCGGGCTCTGTGCTGACAGCTGAGAGCCTGGAGCCTGCTTCAGATTCTGTCTCCCTCTCTCTCTGCCCCTCCCCAGCTCATACTCTGTGTCTCTGTCTCTCAAAAAATGAAATGTTAAAAAAATTAAAAAATAAAAAACAAAACAGACACGTCAGACCTTTACATGGAGTAAATTAAGTCAATTTGTACCTGGGGTAGTCTGCCTCTCCTGGGTCAGGGCCAGCTATAACTAAGCTAAACCTGAGCTAGGGTGCCAGGTCCTGCAGAACAGGGCTGGGACCCTCCCCTGGGACAGCCCTGCAATTTCCTGACCTTCTGGGCATCTCCCCCTGCACATGGCATCTTTCTGAACAATCTTGTATAAATCCCATCGTTTTGAAGATGCACTGGGTATGTTGACCCTAGTGGAGCCAAGATGGGCCCACCAAGCACCAGGCCATGCTGGAGACAGGCCTTTCCGGGGATAGCCAGTGGACACTGGGCCAGCCTGGGAGCTCCTGGGGGAGGACTGGGCCATCTGGAGCATCTTGAGAGCTCTGAGCTCAAACGGAATCAGATCAAGGCCCAGTGAGGGTTTGGGACAGCTTCATGTCCTTTAGTCACCCTCCACCCCAGCCTCTCCTCTAGGATCAAACCCTGACCACAGGAAATTCTCCCTTGACTGTGAGTCCCCGAGATCAAAATTTGGAGCCTCGAAAACATTGTTCTGTCCTTTGATGAGGATTTTCAGTGTCTGGCCAGGGCTGAGGGTCAATATCACACATATTGTTCTAGCTGAGAAATTAAGTTTCAGGATTTCAGTTTCGTAATGCCAACTCTTTTATCCCCCTTCTGTAAATCTAACATTCTGTAAAGGGTGTTGACTTAATTTGACGACTAACAGTAATTCAGGTCTGCTTCGTCTATTGCCAAATCCCACAAAAAAACTTGCTGCCCTTTTTTTCTTTTGGTGTGGGACTGGAATAAGAAAAAGCCACATTAAAAAAAAAATTGTATGTATATTGCAGATCTTATTATTGCTTAATGTCACTTGCTTCATTTGATGAATCTCTTTAAATGGATTAGTTCAGAAAATAACGTTACCTTCCTTGAAAAACTGGTTTTTATTGTCAGATAAGGAGAGTTAGGTAGCCCATCGAGTTTCCCTTTTTGCCTTGGCTTCCAGGAAGCTCAGAGTTCAATGTAATGATGTCTAATTGTCAGTCCTGATGACCTCTGCTTCTTTTACCATTATCCTTTTAATTTTGTTGTTTTGCTATTTCATGTGTTTGCGTGTGTTTTCTAATACTAAACAGCTCCAATTCCTTTGTGAAAGGCAAAGTCTGCTTCTGGGACTTATCCAGTGGAAAGTGATGAGTAAAAAATGATCCCCACAGAAGGAGTTCATGTCCCACTCCTTAAAATCTGAGGGTGGCCCGAAGGGATTCAAAGATACTATGCAGAGGGCGGCGGTAGCTCCTTAAGAAGCAGTGTGAGAAAGCCTGTTCCATTTGCTGCCCCAGCACAGGCCGGGGCCGAGGCACTGTCCCTGCAGCCCCTTGCTGGCAGGAGAGAATTTTGAGGCTCACAAGAGAGTGTTGTTTGTACTTGGTGTATGAGAACCCCGGCTTAAGGACCGCTGGGACGAAACTTTGTCGTCACGCAGGTAGGTAGGTAGCCTGTGGTTGTACCACTGACTTGAGAAGGTTGCTTAACCTCCCGGGGCCTCAAGTGGCCTCCTCGTCACTAAGTTAGGGGCACGGCAGGTGCGAAGGATGAGGTGGAGTTAGATATTCTCCCAACCCATTCACCCCAGATGAGGGTGGTGTTTACGTTAAAAAACAGAGAAGAGGGGCACCTGGGTGGCTCAGTCAGTTGCACGTCCCACTTGTGATCTCAGGCCATGATCTCACGGTTCCGGAGTTCGAGCCCCGCATCAGGCTCTGCACTGACAGGGCGGAGCCTGCTTGGGATTCTGTCTCCTTCTCTCTCTGCCCCTCCCCTGCTCGCAGTGCTCTGTCTCCTCCTCAAAATACATATACTTTAAAACAAACAACAGAGAAGAGAAGACAAAGGAAGACTTTGAATATATAAAGATGTAAACATTTGTAGGAAAAAAGTCACCTATGAGCAAAAAGGGGGCAAAGGAGCAACTCTGTAATAAAAAAAAATGCAGAATAAGCCAACGATGCAACCCCATTTATTTAAGTCAAAGAAAGCAGACCTATTCTTTACATGCCTGATGCTGGGAGCTGTGCAGTGAAACGGACTTTCTCAGCGGTGCTCACAGGGTAGAGTGACCCAGCCCCTTCAGGAAGCTGCTTGCAGAGGTGTACGGAGAATTTTTAGAGTATTTATTACTTTGACCCAGAAATTCTACTTCTGGGACTCTGCTATGAAATAATCCATAATATGGAAAGAGCTCCTTGCAGAAGGATATTTGTGGTGAGGCTGTTCCTGTTATTTAAAATGGAATCGATACAAATGTCTGATCACACAGATAACACAAAATGGAATAGAACCTATTATTTCTTAACAAAGTTTTTTAAATTTTTTTTTTTTTTTGAGAGAGAGAGAGAGAGAGAGAGACAGCACAAGCGGGGAAGGGGCAGAGAGAGAGGGAGACATAGAATCAATCCAAAGCAGCTCCAGGCTCTGAGCTGTCAGCATGGAGCCTGACGCAGGGCTCGAACCCATGAACCGTGAGATCATGACCTGAGTGGAAGTGAGACGCTTAACCGGCTGAGCCACCCAGGTGCCCAGAATAATCCTTCTGATGACTGTAGACAAGGCAGATGCTTAGCGGATGATGTTACTTGTTAAAGCAAGATACATTATTGTATGTAAGTAATTACCACCATTTATATGTACATGATGGTAGTTTTATTTATATATGTGTGATTTCAAGGGAATATCACAAAATGAAATTGTGGTTGTGGTAGGGTGGCAGGAAAACCGTTTTTTGCTTTGTTTAAACTATTTTTCAAAATCATAATGTTATGTTACTTTTCTAATGAAAAATACATAGTTTTTTATTTTATTTATTTTTATATTTTGAGAGAGAGAGAGAGAGAGAGCATGAGAGTAGGGGAGAAGGGCAGAGAGAGAAGGAGAGAGAGGATCCCAAGAATCCCAAGCAGGGTCCACACTGAGGCAGGGCTCGATCCCACGACCCTGGGATCATGAGCAGAGCTGAAATCAAGACCCAGACACTCAACCCACTGAGCCACCTAGGCTCCCCCATAGCTTTTTATTTTAAAGGAACATAAAAGAAAATGAAAAAGGGAGGTTAGGGGGCACCTGGGTGGCTCAGTGGGTTGAGTGTCTGACTTCAGCTCAAGTCATGATCTCACAGTCTGTGAGTTAGATCCCCACGCTGGGCTCTGTGCTGAGAGCTCAGAGCCTGGAGGCTGCTTCGGATTCTGTGTCTCCCTCTCTCTCTGCCCCTCCCCTGCTCGTGCTCTGTCTCTTTCTCTCTCTCAAAAAATAAACATTAAAAATTAAAAAAGAAAGAAAGAAAAAATGGGGGGTTAGATATGTGCTTACCAGGTTTTTAGATCCAGACCAGGAAAACGAAGGGAAAAGGATGGGGTCCGAGAGAAGATTACTCTGTTTTTATTCCGTCAGGCTAAGGACATCTCAAAATGCTAAATATGGTCTACTATCAATGTAATGTAATAACTAATAATTTAATAAAGGAAAGGCCATTTTCACACCAAAAAGTAGGATGGACAGAATTTTGCTATCACGTCCTCATTTCCCCATTTTGTGAGGACCTGTGGCACCCTTGATGGCTGACTGTGGCTCCTGGGTCAGAGTTTGGGACCCTTCTACCCGCAGGAGCCGGGCCAGGGCTCCGACCCCCAGCCACAGCCATCCTCACGGATCCTGCGTCTCTGGAGCAACGGCCCCCGCCTGGCCACGCTGAGATCTCGGTGCCATTGCCAGAGTTTCAGGGAGCCACGCTGGCTCTTACTCGGGAAATCCAGTTGGCCGCTGTTATCAGCGATGAATGGGAAACTAAGGCACAGTTTGCAAGCAGGGAGCGCCTGTGGGGCAAGACACCTGTGATAAAGAGGTCGCCCAGCCCCAGCAGAGGTAACGGGGAGGTCTCCTCTGTGCCATGGTCGTCTGTGCATTTCCATTGTTAGACAAATCGGGTAAAAAATCACTCACCGCTAAAACAGTGATATCCCCGCACCGCCTCCCTGGTGCCTGGAGAGAGAAGCCTCTTAGAAATTATTATAAGGGGCGCCATGGCGAAGGTTTGTTGTTGTCTGTTAGGTCACTCCATCTCACGGTCTCAAGGAGTTCCGAGGCCCCGCTTCTGCTTCCTGGCTGATGGCTCAGGGCCTGAGCCCAGCCCATTCTGTGCCCCCTCTCTGCCCTCCCTGCTCATGCTCTGTCTCTTCTGTGTCCCAAAAATAAATAAACGAAAAAAAAAAAATTAAAAAAAAAAAAAGAAACAGGGGGACTGGCTTTTCTGACCATGTGCCCTCAGAACATGTGCCCATTTCCTCCTTGGGTGCCTGGCGGCTCAGGACAAGGGCGCAGCTGATGGATGTGGAAGGTCATGGCACCTACCCTGGGCCTTCCAGAGAGAGGTACAAAGTCTCTCACTGGCTGGAGGGGGTGTCTGATCCGGGTTTTCCAGAGTCATCTGTGTCTCTTCCCTCAGGATGGCAAAGCTGCATCCCCCAAACCTCACTCAGGTGTGTCAAGCACTTGGAGACCCAGATTCTAATTTAGGTCTGGGTGGGGTCTGGGATTAAAATGAGAGGAGATTCATCTGTATGTAATCGCAGTGCCCACAGGCTTGAGCACAGCCACAGAAAGGTCTCACAATGTTCTGCAGGGGCCTGGTGGGTGTGCGAATGAGGACACAGATGGCACTTTTTATTCATTCATTTAAACACGTCATCGGAGCACCGCCTGGCCCAGCTCAAGGTGCCGCCTGCACTCTCCAGGCCTCAGATGTGCCCTCTGGGGGGCCTCCGTGGTACAGCCCTTTGGTGAAGGGAAGAGCTGCTGCCTCCCGGTGGCTGTGCTTTGCAAACCCAGCTCCGTGAGGGAGCCTGCCCCGCAGTCACTCACGGTTCCGGAACCGCCTTCCTGGGGGGGGGGTGCTGCCTGGAAGCTGTGACTCAGACCTCCTGCCCTCCACCTGGAGCCTGGTCCCCGCCCTCAAGGCAGGAAGCGGAGTGTGTCAGGGCAGAGCAGGTGCGTCTGGGCGTGATGTGACATTCATCCTTTTTTCTGGCTGTCGAAGGTGCAGATAATTAATAAGAAGCTGGATCTTAGCAACGTCCAGTCCAAGTGTGGCTCAAAGGATAATATCAAACACGTGCCAGGAGGCGGCAGTGTGAGTATCGTCACACTTTCCCTGGGCCCGTTCCGTGGTTCTGGTTTGTAACAAGCGGCATGAGAATATACACTTGTGAGACATTGCAGAGAATAAACCGCCCTCGGGGGCAGAGTCTGTGCCCCCCAGGCTCCCTGCACCCGTGTCCACGGTTCTAGGAGGGGTGGGACCCCAGCACCTGTGGGGCCCCCGGCCTCTGCAGAACAGGAGGATGGCTGAGCCTCTCTCCGGCCCAAACCTGGAGGCCAGGTCCTCACGGCATAATACCCCGGGTCCACCCCACCCACCGCCCGGCACGGGCTCCTGGGAGCCCCGCCGCCCGTTGGAGGTTGGGAGGAAAGGGGCAGCGTCTGAGACTGGGCTCTGTCCCCTCGTCCCCCGTGGACGGACAGCCCTGTGGGCGGCTGGCACGTCCGTTCTGATGAGCAGACGCGATGTTTTGCTGTCCTCACTCAGAGCAGGAAAAGTCCAGTCCCTGCTCGTGTTTGTCTCCTGCATCTGCGAGGGACGAGCAGGTCCCCAAGCCTCGGCTCAGGTGTAAAACCGGCCCCTCTCCTGGCAGAGACTTCAGGGGAAAAATAGCCCCCAAAAGTGCACAGGGGACCCTGCCTGCGGCGCTTGGGAGTTGACAGAGAAATGCTGCCTTGGAGCCTTTTACATTTGGCTCCCTCCAAATGTCGTGGGGACGCCTGGTGTCCCTAGTGGGGGAGTCCCTGAGGTTTGGGGCTGGCCTCCTCACCTCTCACCTACCCACTCCATCAGCTCTGCTGTTCCCCTCCCGGCCACTCCGTGGTCACTCACCGTGGGTACGGACTGGGCCTCCCGCGGCCGGGCCCCTCTTCTCTGCGGCCCCTACCCCAGCCTCTGGGTTGACTGGAAACCACATTTAAACACATCAAAGTGGGAGGGTCGAGCCCCTTTGAGGTCCACCCCCGGCTGGGGGGACGGTTTCTGAGAGCAGGTGCCTTGCTCCTGGCTGGCAGCCAGGAGGGTGGCAGGGGGCGGGGGACAGTGGTAGCCCCAGGCGGGCTGTCTCTCCAGAACGTGCCCAGCCTGGGCCCGCACCTCTGCGCCCAGCCCCGAGGTTTATTCTTGCAATGTGAGTCTGTCTCCCGCCCTGAGCTGCATGGCGCTTCCGTAACGCTTCCTCACCAGTGTCTGCTCAGCGTTTTCCTCTGTGTCCCCAACCCTGCTCTCCTGTCCCGCTGCTACCAGAAGGAAGGGGAAGGTGTGAGGACCACCCCCCACCCTGGCCCACAACCGTGGGCTCCGCGCAGAGTGCTGGTTGCTGTGTTAGCTCCGCCTGGATCTCTGGTATCACTATTGCAGACCTTGGCTCTGGCCGGAGGAGCGAGGCCTGTTCTCTGGTTTAACTCCTGTCTGGTCGGCCGGCAGGAGGCTGTGCTGGTGGGGCCTGGGCTGTGGGGTCCAGAGGTAGCTTCAGGCGTGAGCTCGGGGCAGACGGTACATTCCCACTGCTGATGGCAGTGCCCAGGACATGAGGGGACTTCCTCGAGGGCACCTCCTGTGCTCCCGCCCTCTCTGCCCGCCTCCGGCTAACCTATGTGACCCGGCAAAGAGCCGCGGGATATCTCAGGCTGGCCCTGAGCATTGTCCTTGGAGCGTGGCCACTGCTGGTTTGCAGTAGGAACCTTCACAGGAAGCTCTTCTCCTGGTGGAAGGCGGCTGGGGGTTCTGGGCACCTAGCCAGGTGTTTTGGGGGCGCTAGACCCCTGGCCTGGGCCCTCCGGCCTCTGGCTTGTGGCCCTCCCTTCCCTAGCCTGGAGGGGATGTCCCAGCTGGCAGGCCCAGCTCCCTTGTCCACCTTGGGATCCTCCCTGCCTCCCGCGGGCTCTGGGCTCCACTCCAGGCCTGGCCTCCTCCCCCGCTCTGCCCCGGGGCCTCCACTCCTCCTGCCGCCCCTGCACTGGCTCCTACCCTCAGGCAGTCCTGTCCCCTCTGCCTCCTTCTGCACACCCTCCTCTCCCCAGGTTACCTCATCCGGGCTGAGGGGAAAGAGGGAAATCTGGGTCACAGAATTTACTTCCCTCTCTCTCGTGCCAGGAGGAGCTCCCGTGGCCCCTTCCCTGCCTCTCAGCGCGCTGTCTCCCAGACCCTGTTCCCTCAGGACTGTTCACCCCCCGCCCGTCCACCTGCACGGGTGCCGGCTGCCACACCTGGGCTCTCCCCTTGCCTCACTCCACAGACACAGGCCAAGGGCGCCTGTTGGCCTCGGTCAACTCTCCATCAAGAAGTGGCAAACGCCAGCATGATTTTAATTAACTAAAAAAAATCATTTGGAATTGTTCCAGGTGATTTAGACAGAAGTAGATCTCCCTCCTTTTTTGTCTGGCTCTCTGGCTGGAGGCCATCTCTCTCCTGGGCAACTCCGGGCTCCCACTCCGTGGTGACTGGCCTCTTGTGGCCTCACACGGGTGGTTGCTGGAGGCCCTGGGAAGTGTCCCTCAGTGACCATCCAGGGACCCCCTCACAGACACGCCTTTCTAGAGGCTTCCTCCAGAAAACCCATCTGCCGATGCGGGGTTCCCTGTGGGCGATCCCATCCAGGGAGTCGGTTCTTGGGCTGAGATCGGTGGGGCGCTCAGCGGCTGTCGTTCCCCTCGGGAGGGTGGGCAGTGGGCAGTGCGGCCAAGCTGCGTGCTGGGCCCCGGGCCGGTTCTGAGCCCTGTGTGTGTCCGACCTGTGCTCCATCTCTCGGGGACTGACCTGCTGGGTCCTCTGTGCCGTCTGCCCGTCTCCTGCTGTCGCTTTGCTCCTTGAGCTCGAGAACCGAAATGTCCAGGACGCTGTGTTATCCAGGTGCCAGCGGGCTCTTACCTCCAAGCTGCCAAACCGCTCTGGGTGCTGCTTGCCGAAGGTCCCCGCACTTGCCGCGGTGCTGGGCTTTGTGGGAGCCTCTCCTGGGAGGAAGCGCCCCCACCGACCCCACTCTGCCCTCTCCTCTTTGAGGACCAGCAGATGTGGCTTTCTGGCTTGTCCAACAAGATTGTCCAAGTGCGGAACAAATGGATCCTATGGATCCCTCCTTTCTTTGTCCCCACCGAATGCAGTGTCACTTTCAGCTCAGGAAACAGTGACTCTTTTAAACGAACGGTGTGGGCCCTGCACAGTGACAAATACCCTTGTTTTCCCCCTGTGGGACCGAGGGCACTTCAATCCCACAGTCATTCTCTGAAGACCTACCTCCCCTGGGGCAGGGCTGGCAGAAATCCAACAACACATATTCCCACCATGACCGGGTGCCTTCCTCGCGGCGGACAGGAAACGCCGTCCAAGCAGGGCCTGGACTTACACGGCTGCTTTTCATGGGGTTACACCCGTAATTAAATCATCCTGTTTTATTCTCTGTCTCTCCCTCGTCCTCTCCCGCCTCCAGGTGCAAATAGTGTACAAACCAGTGGACCTGAGCAAGGTGACCTCCAAGTGTGGCTCGCTAGGCAACATCCATCATAAGCCAGGTAGCCCTTGCAGAAGGCGGGGAAGGTGGTGGGGGGGGGAGGTGCGGGACGGGACTGGGTGGTGCCTTCTCCTAAAGTGGCTGGGAAGGATTGATGGGCTGGGCTGACGAGGGGAGCATCGAAGGTGGAACTTGCTGGGCCCTGGGAGGGGTGGCTCTCCCATCTCACTCCTGAGCAGGGCGCCATGGTGGCCAAGCCAACGTGACGAGGGGGGGCGGGTCCTAAGCCCTAACCTGGTTCTCCAAGCAGGCTGCACACAGAGCCTCTAGAGCTGGGGACAGGCCTGATCTGGCTCCCGAAGGCTGGCCTGTGGATGTTCCAGTTTGGTTCCCAGCCCACACAGGGGACACGTCACCGCCTGCGCCAGCCATTGCCAAACTCCGGCCGTGACTTTGTTTCGACAGTAAATGCCGTTGGAGCTCTGCCATGCTTCCCTCCCCGCTCCCCTTCCCACACCACAAGAAAATCAGAGCTATCTGGAGATCTCTCTGCGCTGATGGAAATGTTCTAGACCTGCTCCGTCCAGTGCGGTGGCCCCCAACCACACGTGGCTACTGAGCACTGAAAATGTGGCCAGCGCAGTGGACAAAATGAGCTAATTGTATTTAATTAAAATTTAAGTAGCCACATGGGGCTGGTGGCTACCGTATTGCCCAGCGTAGATCTAGATTCTAACTCTTGCCCGGGGGTCCAGAGTGGGGACTTCTGCCGTGGGCCCGGTTCAGAGCTGAATCCGCACTTGCTGAAGCATTCCTGTGGGGAGGGGAGACAAGGCTGGCAGAGATGTAGTCCGGATCGTCTCTCATCACGTTCTGGCTTCCCTTAGACTTGTTGTGGGAGTTTGGTCTCTCCCAGCGAAAACCATCCCTCAGCTGTGCCACCATTCACGCCATGAGCAGCTCTCTTGGGTGGCCTTATCCTTCCCCAGAAAGGAAGGATGTCTGTCTGTCTCCCTCTCTGGCCGCGTCTCCCACACTCGGGTGCGGCGCCTAGTGTCCGAGGAGGGGGAGGGGTCAGGGCCCTTCCTTCGTTAGGGTGCATTTTGCCATTTAGTTTCACTCCGAGGCCTTGCAGGGCTGTGGCTTTACAGGAAGTTGACCAAGAGAGACTTCACTCTTTGGAAGCCGACCACTTTAGAATTTAGAATCTTTTCTCCTACCCTGAGTTGTCATTGACCTTTGCATGAACTAAGGAGGAAGAATTTGTTGAGCAAATATTGATGCACACCTTGGTTAGAGAGCAAACTGTTGTCCAGCCCTTGGGAAGGGCTCTTACCTGTGCCCAGACTACCTTCTAAATGAAGGACCGTCTTGTCTACTCCGAAGGATTGGGGTCTACTTGGAATGGCTTGCTTAGCCCTCCTTCAAGGCCTGGTGCCCCCGTGTGTGTTGTGTTCCAGGAGGCGGCCAGGTGGAGGTAAAATCTGAGAAGCTGGACTTCAAGGACAGAGTCCAGTCGAAGATCGGGTCCCTGGATAACATCACCCACGTCCCTGGTGGAGGGAATAAAAAGGTAAAAGGGGGCGGGGTGGGGAGGAGGCTGCATTTAGACATGGCTGTTAATGGAGTGCGGTGCACGAATCTGGTCCGGTTTTCCAGAGAAGGAAAGCTGAGGGGCCTGAACTAATTGGCTTCCTGTGGATTCTCAGCGACCACCAGGACTCATCGGGTGAGCCACCTTCGCCGGCCATTGCTGTCACCTGGGAGCCTTGCCAGATTTGATGCCCAGACCCCACCTGGAGATTCTGATTGGTCTCAGGTGCAGCCTGGGCACCTGGAGTTTGTAAAGCCCCCAGGTGATGCTTCATGCCCGGAAAGGTGAGCGCCGCTGTCCTCCGTGACGGCGGTCGGCCCTGTGGTTGGCAAGCGTCCACGGAAGGAAGTGGCCATCCATCCCCAAAGCCAACCCCAGCGCACCAGAACGAGTAAGGGGAGCGTAACCTGATTTTGTAAGTGGGTCACTAGGCAGTCAGAGCAAAACGGTGATGCTGAAATCCAGATTCCCGCAGAGCCCCTGCCTGTCGGTCACAGAATCGTCCACGGGGAAGGCTGCTGGACCCAGGGCCTCGGCGATCCGGGCAGTTTCTGGAGTCCTCGGGTCTCGCTGTGGGAGCTGGGGGAAGGGGAAGCCAGGGCTTGCGGCCCTGAGCAGGCTCCCTCCGGGCGCATCACAGGATGTGTCTTATGGCTGTACTTCTTTGCTGCAGAAACGCAGCCAAAGCGCTCTCTGGGGGGTTCCCACCCACTCCAGCGGCCGTGAACTTCTGGAAGTGGCTCATTTTCCAGTTTGCAGTGCCCCCCAGCAGCTGACAGAGGGGTGCTGGAAGGAGAAGGGGTGTCCCAGAATGGGCACAGACTCTGAGACCCGACCCAGCGTGAGAAAGGGCACTGGCCAAAGTGGCCCAGCTGGTTGGAAGTGGCAGCCGTCACACCATTCATTCTGAATGGACATGCCCCGTGCCGCGTGTGAGGCCAAAGCCCAAGGGGGCGGTTCTGGAGAAGCACTGGCTGGTGTGGTCTTACTTAAAGCAGAGGCCGCAGACTGAGACCTCAGGACAGACCTGACCACAGACGAGCTCCCCGAAGGCCGGGGCGCGGAGGGCGGGGTACTCACGCCCTTGGATGGCCTTGCGCTCTCTGGCTCCCCGCAGCACCCCCTGTCACCCCCCCCAGCCCCACCCCGGACAGCAGGGTGGACCCGGTTCCCCAGACTGGGCTTCCAAGGTGCAGAAATATCATCTCAGTGCCTGGTCCCTGGTAAAAGAGGGGCCGGGAGGCCGCGTGCTTCAAGGGAAGTGAGGCAGGGCCCAGTTCTCTGAGGTTGTGGAGAAGGTTCTCTGCAAAAGCCAGGTGGCTCTTCTAGCTTCTGTCACCTGACCGCCTCCCCGGTTTAAGGCCTGGGCATTGGCGATTCCCTGGGTGAAGGAAGGTCTCTGCCCATCTCTGGAAGCTTCTATGTCCTGAGCAAAGCTCTGGGCTTGACTCTGCTTGGAGTTGGGACCTGGGCAGGCCGGGCAAGTGCTCTCAGCTCGTTTCTCCCTCAGCAAAATGGGACCGAAATATCCACATCCCCGGGTGGTGCTGAAACCCAAAGGAGATGGTGTTCTGGAAGGTTCCTGGTACTTTGTAACCAGCTAAGAACATGACTCAGAGTCAAGCCAGAGTGTGAACTTCGGTTTTAACTCACCTCTGTGCTGGCTGAGAAAGGGTGGGCCTGGCCCTGCCCACCACTCAGAAGTCACTGTCCTGACCCCAGAGTGTCCCTGCCTGTCTAGTCCCCCACTTCCTCCTGTGATGGGCAGGAAGCTCTAACAAGCGGTGGAGTGCAGGACCCCCGTCTCCAGAGCGCCCTTCAGTTTGGGAGATTTGGGGACTTATACCCACGTCCAAGCCCCCCCCCCCCCACCACAACGGGGGCTTCTCAGCCGGGGTCCACGGACTCCCGAGTCTGTGCAGAACGCTTGTGGGTCTCTGAGCGCCTGCCCCCTTGTGTCCATCTTTCTGGCTTCGCCAGATGCACAAAGGTCTTAGGACCCAAAAAAAGGAGAGAATTCCTGTCTGCCACTTCCAGGCTCAGCAGGAGCTCTTATAACTGCTCACATCTGCGACACAGGCTCTCTGAGGGTCGTGGGCATCCTCTGGAGCTAAGTACCTCTGGCCTCCTGGCCCTGTCATTGTTTCTCTCCTTGAAAAAGGACTTTATGGCACCATCGTTTCTAGCACACCTTCCAGGGCGGTTCACGCTTGCCGCCACCTCCAAAGTCCTCAGTCAAAGGCGAAGGGGAGGAGTGTGTGTGGCTCACGGCTGGACGGCAGTGACTCTGGGGATGTCCCTTAATCATCTCCAGCTTCTCCTTCATGCTTTACTTTGCAATTGGGTAATATTTTTTTTTAGAGAGAGGGCACCAGTAAGCGAGGGAGAGAGAGAGAGAGAGGAGCGGGGCCTCCCCCGGGCTCATGCGTTACCCGGAGCGGGGCTTGAGCTCACCCCATGGGTGACTCGAACTCGTGAACTGTGAGCTCATGACCTGAGCCGAAGTCAGATGCTTAATGACTGAGCCACCCAGGCGCCCCATGCAGTTTGATGATATCTATTAAGATAAAATGCACATGTCTTTTGACCTACCAGCCATTCCGCTCCTAGGATACGGTTACACGTGTGTGAAATGACGTGCACACAGGGCTATATTCATACACGGCGCCAAGGGACGCGGGTGGCTGGCAGGCAGGCGCTGGAGGACCCGCACGCAGGTTTTCACTCCGGGACGGTGACCAGACCAGACCACGGTCACCGTGGGGGGCCGGCAGGACTTGCTCCCCTTCCTATGGCTTAATTCACCCCTCCTCCCCTCCCCCCCCAACTACCTCCTCTCTCGCAGATCGAAACCCACAAGCTGACCTTCCGCGAAAACGCCAAAGCCAAGACAGACCACGGGGCGGAGATCGTGTACAAGTCGCCCGTGGTGTCCGGGGACACGTCTCCGCGGCACCTCAGCAACGTGTCCTCCACGGGCAGCATCGACATGGTAGACTCGCCCCAGCTCGCCACGCTAGCCGACGAAGTGTCCGCCTCCCTGGCCAAGCAGGGTTTGTGATCAGGCCCCCGGGGCGGTCAATAATCGTGGAGAGAAGAGAGAGAGTGTGGAAAAAAAAAGAATAATGATCTGGCCCTTCGCCCTCTGCCCTCCCCCAGCTGCTCCTCACAGATCGGTTAATCGGTTAATCACTTTAACCTGCTTTTGTCGCTCGGCCCTGGCTCGGGACTTCAAAATCAGTGACGGGAAAAAGAGCAAATTCCAGCTTTCCAAATTGATGGGTGGGCTGGCGATAATAAAATATTTTTAAAAACATTTAAAAAGACGACCACACCCACCATTTCCTTGGGCAATTACTTTTGATTCTTTTTTTTTCCCCCTCTGCCTAGAAGAGGGAGGAGAGGCTCTGCGAGCTGCTTCTGGGGAATCTCAAGGGACTGCGGGCGCCCCTGCTCTGCCCTGTCCTGGGGGTGTCACAGAGGCAGCGGCAGCAGCAACGGATTTGAAACCGGGTGCCATGTGGGAGCCGCGGGGGCGGATGTCAACTTTGTGGTGGGGGTTGGGGGAGGAGCCCCGGAGAGGCTGAGGCAGGGGA